TATATATATGGCTCTATCATCAACATTGTATTTTTGCAAGTTCTTTTTTTCAATTTTGGAAAATAAAGAGCATTTTTCAAATATGAACTCTGAGCCAATTTTAAAAGCATAATTTACTCTATTCGAGAAAAAGGAGTTAAATGAAAAAAAAATTACCAGTTTTTGAGAAAATCTTGTTTTTACAATTAGCAGTATTCCATGCAAAATTACTCGAAAACTAGTCAGTTTTTGAACATTGCACCTGATCTTATTTAAAGACCTGACCTTGAAGAAAAGATTTCATTAAGAGAAACGTAAATTCAGTAAAACCTAAGTTGGACACCTCTGGTGACCCATAAATTTGACAAAATTAGAGGTGTCCAACATAGAGAGTAAGAGATAGAATAACGTAAATGCAATATTACTGTATGATTTATTTTAATATATTGTATTTTTAATATCATTACAAACAACGTTAATTATACATTATTATTATTATTATTATTATTATTATTATTATTATTATTATTATTATTATTACTATTTTTAACCCTGCAGTGCTCGCATGCGAACTCTAAGTGCGCATTTTTCTCTTACTTTTTAATATTTTTCGTCCTCGGGTTGACATGTTTTCGGTACATTTCTACAAACAGTTGTTTTAGATCACAATTTCTATTCGGTTTTGATTAGTGTAGTGGTATCGGAGTAATCAGGAATTGCGTATTCTCAGTCTGACGCGAGTATTGGCGTTACATTGTTGCTTTTAGTTTCAATAATTGGATAAAAATTAGAACATTCAAAAATGGATATAATTGTAAACGTATAAATACATTTTTCAGATTTTGTGTAATTTTTTTAAATTTGTAAAATCTGAGTAAATATATTTTGTTCAGAAATTCAGGAATGTGATACGCAATATTTGAAACATTCTTAATATATGTAGGCTAAAATATTATTTTTGTGTTGATGTTAATTTTTCATCTAATTACTTTTAAAATCCTCATATATTTTCTTTCCAATTTCTTTTTATACCGACAACAAATTCCTAATCTACTTTGCCATTCTATTGTGCCACTTGTGTAATTTTGAAAAAAAACAACAAAAGAATACTGCAAAATTATTTTTGGTTCATCTTAAATAATGTGTTTTTGAGAAAATGGCGTTTGTTTCTGAAAACGCAGAATTTTGATCTCATTCTCACAGAAATCTGTTTGAGTTTTCGAGAAACTTTATATGACATCATTTAATCTACATGTGCTCATAAATTCAATAATGTGAACTAATCACCAATAATGTAAATGCGTAAATTATTGAGAAAATGTTGATACTGTTCCAGGGGCTTCATGTAAAGTACCCCACAATAATTAATGAATCTTAGTCAAAATCGCAGAGTTTCGAGTGAGGCCAAATCGACAGGTATGTATTTTTTGGAAAAAATCCTTTGCATAGTTTAGGCACTAATGTTGTTCTTAGACGACACAAGGATGGACGTTGTGCAAAAAACATATTTTAGGTATCAAGGCGTTTTAGGTATCCAAAGTGTTTATATCCGTTGAAATCCATTTTCCGCAGCATTACATAACTTTCTCTTTACTAAGGATATTACTCCGTATATACGTACGTATACGAGAAAGTAAAAAGTCAGAAGAGGGGTAATTAGAAATGGAGATTTTTTTTGAGTACTTAATGTCGGAGTTTCGAGCGCGAGATTGCTGCCCAATTTGCGTAGAGAAATTGATAGCTACGAATATACTACTCGTACAGTCGTAGAGCTCAATGATGACCGTATTGTCGTGTCCCTCATGTTGACGTCCCTGGTTTGACATCCCTGATGTACTCACGGTGTCAACCCACCGAACATATCCGACTTCAACTCTCACTCATGCGTCGATGGCCGTGATGTCACCAAAGATATTCGACTTCGTATTTTCTTTACAATATAATCATTGCTTTGAAATATTACAGTAGTGTCCTTCAAACTTGGAATTTCATTGCTTCAGAAGCGGAAACCCCTCGCCAAATCTGAGAATTTTATTTTTATCCGCGCGTCATTCTATAGAATTTGAAAGTTATCTTGTCAGAAAATTCAGACAAACTTTTGACAGAATCCGCTGTACTCTGAAACTATGTCCTCTCGCCGGCTCGATTTTCAGCTGTTGTCCGTGGACATAGGGGTAAGCAGAATAATGCAAGAGTGAAGGTAAATACCATTTCTGAGCCCCATTTTCCATTAAACTTGATTACTTATAATACGATATATTTTACTAGGAAATAAATCATGCATAAGGAGAATGAAGTTATAAGTTTAATGATACGTTTAGTAAATGTAATTGATTTGATGTTGAATCATTTACAGTGCTCCCTGATGGGTTGGAGAGCCTCATCTCCAACCGTTGTAAAGCAAGTTTCCAAATTATCGGGATAAAAAGGGGAAAACCAGGAATTGACCATATTTACGAATATAAATTTTTTTTTTTTGCGTAATGAAAAGATCCCTTCCAAAATTTTATATGTCCATAGACAACACACAATCCCTCGTGAGCGTTATTTGGGTCACCGCTGAAGTAATCCATACCAATAATAATACGAACAGCTCTTTAGTAATGTTTTACAAACGGATTTTTAGGTTCAACTTAGACCCGAAAAGAATGATTCTGTTTTGTTGCTGTAAGTGAGCTCAAATTTGCGTAAAACAAATAGCAGCTTTTGTACGGCAGTAAATACATGGCACTTGTGGCAGGGCAATGGTTGGTTGAACATGGCAACTTCTAGCAACATGTCGAAAGTTACTAAGAATCGCCACTCCTTTGAAGAGAAACGTATGGAACTTTTCTTTGCGAGAATGAGGTAAAGTTCTTATTAACCTATTGCACAATTTTCACAAAAAGCTTAAGGTAATATTATTTGCGATTAATTTTCGCTTTGAATCTGGCACTGTGAGAAATCATATATTGACAATGCTGCTCACCACCGTTTTTTAATTGATTTGTTCTCGGACTTCATACACTTGTGAACACCTGACATACCGTTTATTTATTATTATGGACTATTGATAGATGTTCAGGAAATCAATAACCAGAGGAAAAATATAAGACGTTTGATTCATAAAAAAATACATTGATAAATCTTCAACAGGCTAAAAAATGCACCATATACTCGCACGGCATCGCCTATCATTTGCGCCATATTAGGAATATGGCGTCATTTTTATCTGTGCGAATCGTTCACAATCAGCGCCCATAAGAACGCTCTTTTATTGGATCCTGCACGGCCACCTAGTAGCGCGACGAGGTGGCGTAGTTCTCAAGGAAGCTTGCTTCCGATGCAGCACGCGAACCCCTCCTTAACGCGCATGTTTCTTGTCTCAGAGTGCCGTACAGGTGCGTATTTTGATAACAATGGGTAGTGATATGTTATAACTATCAAAGCGTAGAGCAAATCACACAGTTGTATGATTTATAAATAAAACAGATTCGATACATTAGTAAAACAAGAGTAGGAAAGAAATTATGATATTTTTACTTACCCAAAATCTTTGTCTCGACCCACTTAAATATTACTTTCGCTCGCCTCACGCAATATTCACTTTCTGTCGCCTCACTGCACGACGTCTTTAAATGACAACCGTCAAGCTCACATCATCTTCGCCAATATATGGATATAATGACTTTTCTGGTAGGCTGTCGACTTCAAAATACTCAATAGAGATTTCTCGTCAACAGTAGATCCTCCCACTTAAAATACAGTCCATTCTACCACTTAGTAGCAAACTTATTGCATGTAGACATGCTTTTTAAAGGAACGAACAACCCTACGCCCCTAGAAACGCAACGTGAAGTATAACAGACGGTATTTAAATGTAAATATTTATTTCAATTTTATTGTTATAATAGAAATAAAAGCAAAACGCCATAAAAATGAATTTCGGTTATGTTGCTGAACAAATTTACATTAGACTGATTATTTTCGGAATATTTAATATTTCATAGATGAATGGCATTGCTGAGGCATGAAACACAGTGAACCTTCTTTCAACAACAATCATGGCAGAAGGCCTTAATCAATTTCTTCAATAAACTACAGTACATTTAATATCAATTTGTAATTAGATCAAATAGTAAAAGTATTTGGCAAAGTGGTTAACTTTTCATGTGTCTAAGAGCATAATCTAATATATTCTGCACATTATGCTCTTATATTCAAATTTACTCATTGGTCCTACCATCTAGTTTATATCAATTTTTATTTCACAATTTTACGACAAATATAACGAGTGTCACATATACTATTTTACAAGTATTATACTTGCAAGATGTCACATTCTACTGTCCTAATGTTAAGGATATCTGCGCTAAATTTGAAGATACGTTTGTGAACCACTTTTGGATTAGTGAGTCTGCTACCAATATTTATTTCTCGATCATATGTAATTACATCATAAATTGACCAAAGAAATAAACCACGAGCTTTGGAAATTTCCCATAAATACACAGGCAGCAAAGCAACATATTGATTTATTTCAAATTTTCATATTGTTGCGGCTGTATGTGGCATTTCAAAAAACGCGACGAGACATCGGCCGAGAAACAGCTTCCCCGAAGTTTATCGGGGCAGCGTACCGGCAAAGGCGCTGGCCAATGGGAAATGAGCGGCCAGCAGGCGAAGGGGCAGACGAGCAGCGAGGTTATGCGGAGACCCGGAATACAACCGGGCACTATCACCGGGGCTGAGGCAATGTGTGCGAGAAGACCCGCGTGTATTCGAGAGTCATTGAAGATTGGATACTGGTTTCAACCTGGCATTGTGTTTGGACACTCTATTGGATTAACTGTCGATTGCGCTACTATTGCTACATCTCTTGGTATAACGTTACTTTGGCTTCATTTCTGAACTTTTTTCCTGGTTGAAAGGGAATATCATTTTTCAAGAAATCTGCCTGTGAATTGAATTAAACTTTTAATGTTGTTACATTGCGTTTTTCCTGGATACAACACATATCACTTGCGGAATGCAGTTAATTTCACGAGTAAAAATTATGAATAATGAAACAATATTACTTTATACCAATAATATATAATAAACTTAGAATTCTCGCCAGAAACTAATGCCCCATATTTCCCCTTCATCCACTAACAACGGTAGACAATTGTAATTGTTCACCCCTTAAAGTTTGTTTCAACTAGCGGAACCCGGCAGACGTTGTTCTGTCTCCCTCTCTCTTCGTCTCTTCCTTTATCTCTCTGACTGTCTCTTCGTCTCTCTATTTGTCTCTCTCCGTCTCTCTCTTCATCTCTCTCTCTTCGTCTCTCTCTTCGTCTCTCTATTCATCTCTCTCTCTTCGTCTCATACACATTTACACACTCTGCACGTCTCTGAGCAGGTGGGGTAATATCGAGTAGCGTCGGACCAGCAAAAATATAACAATGTTCCAAATATAATGATCATCCTGTAGATTATGATGTGAGAAACGTTTCTTTGAGGCTTTTGGCGTCGAAAGTTTAGTTTTTAAGAGCCTAGAACGCGAGTTATTTAACGATATAGAGTAACATATCTTGCAGTGTGTTGCGAGTTTCATTTGACATGAATGTTTAGATTTGTTCTTTGCCTTTTTCGTGGATTTTTTGATATTTTAATAGTGTGGGGATAAATTCAACAAATCAGAGATAATTACAATTGGTCCAGCCGTTCTTGCGTTATAAATGATGTAACTAACGAGACTTTGTTTATATATATATATATATATTGTGCGTGATGGATTGGTGCAACCCCATAACACCACCGTCTCATTGTGAACACTACGCGAGCAGCGGAGGATAACAGACGCGTAAGACAGAGTACTAACGCGCGGCTGGTATCCGTTGCCCGTACTAAACGAATGCGAACTAGCGAGCTATGTTTTCTTTGTGAAGGGTTGAGAGAGGGAAGCAACCCCCCCCCCATCACGGAGAATCTCCCAGGCGCCGCGCCATAAATACGCGAACCCGCAAGCGAAGCTCTCTTTTCTGGTCACCACTCGTCGAGTAAGCAGCTGCTCTTTTGATCACCGTCGACGAGTCAACATTTCGCTAAACATTAGATATTGTTTGCTTGCAACGACTACTAGGTAGGAGTATTCGGCGTCGAACAGAGTTTAGTTAGTCCGCGAGATAGTGCAGATTAAGTAGTGTTTCTTCAATTAACAACACGGGAAGTAAATGTTACCGTGTAAGGAAACATTAAAAGTTCTGGCTGTAAAAGTAGAAGTAGCAACGACGAGGAACTTGCACGGTATTCGTAAAGTGCAAGACGTTTTCGCAACGTGGGCGTAGTCAGAGCGCCGGTAGCAGACGAGGAAGAAGAAGAGGCCGAGGATCCAGGCGCACGTGGAAGAAGACAGAACGGTTGGAGGAAGAACGGAAGAGGCGCAAGAAGGCAACGCAGACGACAGAGGCGAATCCGTCTCTCTTACGACGCAGAGCGCGACCGAACGCGTCAGCGCAGCGACCAGCGCACGACCATCAAGGCCACAAGTCCACGAGATAACAGTTTAGGATCCGCAAAAATAGGTCAAGTTACGTCGGCAGGGAAATAGTATAGGAAAGTGTTAAGAATTTGAGACACGGTGGCAACAATCACAGTATTCTAGTAGGAGACGGTTTTGATGCGTCTATTGCTGCCTAAAAACATTCTACTTAGGACTAATTATTTCGCTATTTCAGACACAGTTAAAGTAAATTAGAGTAGTGCACTTGTACACATTTGTTCTTTAATGTATATCTTGAAACGAGAGATTGTAAATTGAATTTTTGATTTCATGTGAAGTGTTATTAGATAGCACAAATTTAGATATAATTAATTTTTCAAGGAATTCCAGTGTAGTGTTGGGTAATTACGTCAGAAGTACCAATCTTGAAGTAAATTATGTGTTCATTCACATGAGTGTGTTTGTAAATCTTCTATTTGTGTTTTGATTATTCTTTGTAAAAGCTGATTCTATATTCTTGGTTTGTCATTAACTGTAGTGCCACTAAAAGTTTATGGTAAATTATACGCTCGTTTGTGTGCAATCTGTGTGATTTTATTGAGTCAAGGGTTAAAACCTTTCTCGCACCCTGAAGATCCTGCTCCCTAGATTTTTTAAAGCTCGCTTCACGAGCAAAGTCTTGACAACCTGCTTACGGTTCATGCCTGCTACCGCGAAGGTGGTAAGTTTGTGGGGGTGTAGGTGGGTATGTTAGAATATATATATATATATATATATATATATATATATATATATATATATATATATAAAGGAGAAAGAAACTGTTGCGAACATCCACTAGCCGCTTGTGTGCAGTGAATGGAACTACTGCTATCTACTGGAGTACATTGGACGTTGGACAGTGAGTTAAAGGAGTTAGAACTTCGGAAAGTGAAGAATGCGATCTCCATGATTTCCGGACATCCCGTCTCAGCGATGTGCCTTGATATGCTGAACGCCGATGCCATCAACCTCATGGACACGCGTGTCCTACAGCTTTCAGTGAACAAAGGAAGTGCTGTTGCATTTATTACGGCACTTGGAATTGTCGAAGCGGTTTCATCACGAGGGAGAGGTATTCCTCTCTAAGATAATCACAGGAGGCGAAACATGGGTTCATCATTTTGAACCTGAAGCGAAACGACAGGCTCTAGAGTGGCTTTATCCGTTCTTTTCACAGAAAAAAAAATTTAACAGTTTCCTCAAATGGAAAAGTCATAATTCATATCGTATTATTCATAATAACGTGATGTCCATTGGCACTCTCATCAATTCAAACTCATACACCAATTCTCTGAAAAAGCTAAAGAGTAGTAAACAGAGAACAGGTTCGATCCCAGAAGAATTGTGCGCAATTTAAGCTTCATGATAACACACGCACATACACACGGTTTACAACACGAGAAGCACTCACAACTATGGGCGCTAAAAACAGCACGTACTTTCTCGCCATTAGTAACGGTTATGTAATGCCAATTAAACCACAATTTCTCTCCAAATTATATTTTGTAAAACTCATTTGAAATCGTAGAACATTTTGTGCGAGAGATAAGTAGAAGGAGCCGAAATTTTTTAAACAAAAACTAAAAATCGCCAAAATTGCACGCAAAAACACGCGGAAAATACTCAAATGTTCGAAAAATTGTACGTTACCTTTTTTCAAAATCTATCATTAAGGAACAGATTTTATTATGGGAAAAAATCTCTATCTTTAGTATTTTAGTTGTAGGAAGACGCCAAAACAATTTTGGATTATTGCAATTTTCGAAAAATGTGAGTTTTCAATGAACATGACATCTGCGCAATTTTTTTAAACCTCCTTCAGATTATCCAACAAGAAAATGTAATCAAAATCGATGGTGCTATTTTTTGAACATTGTGAAAATGTTCCAGGAGCTTCATGTAAAGTACCCCCGAAAATTAAAATATCAACTTAAAATTCAAAGGATCGCGACTTCAGTCAGATCGGAGAATATCAATATTGGAGAAAATCGCCAGAACGGTTTAACCAGTAGTGTTGTTCACGGGCGGACGGACAGACGTTTTGCCGTCAATCGATTTTTCGATACCAAGGACTCACAAAACAGGAATTCTGACTACACCGCGTGTTAGAGCATTTTTTCCTAAATTTAGAAACTGAATTTATCCACTTTTTCGTTACAAGGGCCCAGTAATAAAGAGTTTTTCTGACGAAAATTCGCCGTTTTTCGCGCAGTATTACATAAGTTTCTCTTCTTAAAACGTCTCCCTCGCGCATAACTCAGCCCCTAAATATCCCTCACATTGTTAATATTTACATTACCGAAGATTTTAATAGTTTATTGCATTTGTGAGAACAAGTGGTTTTAATTATTTCTGATGAAAGTTCGTGCACTGTTTATAATAACATAAAATTAACTTTGCTTCTTTTGTTGTTGTTTTTCAAAAAACAAATGTATTTTTTTTAAATATCTCTGTTAATATGTTCCTTTCTAGCGATTTGTATACATTATTGCATTTGTGAGAGAATGTGCTTCAATAGACTTCGAACGAAGTTTTTCTAAAACAAAGATTCCTGTGAAAAAGAGATTCAAATTCCGCACTTGCACTTGAGTTTAAACGAACTTCAAAACTGCTCTAGATTTTTTTAACGAAAATTTACATACAAAACGAAGTTTTACTCTTCTTTGAAAATTCTAAAAGTAATATTTTGAATCTTCCATTAGGAAACCGTGAAATTGAGAAAATTTATATTAAAAAAAAATTAAAAAAACAGCATTTTGGGCGGCGTTAGATGGCAGCTGACAAGACGATGGTGCAAAACCGTAAAGCTTGCCCAGACCGAAGAAATTAGACAACTAAGTAGTACGAGAAAGTATGTGTCATTTGTAGCCCCAAAGTGGAATGACAACATTAAGAGGAGTAAAAGTTCCGGTACGCCGCGAATTTACAAAAGTTTATTTAAGAGACATCGACAAAACTTCGATTTTAATGGAATTCTACATAATTCTTTAAATAACTCCTCCATAATAACGAGAGTGAAGTTTTAGCATTCGATTTATTGAAAATTGCATATCAATATTTGCAACGTTTTAAGAGATATTTGAGGAGAACATCTTAGGTGAACCGCTCTGTATACAAAAATTATAAGATTGAGGAGAATAGTGAAAGTTAAAATTTTGTTCCAAGCATTATTAGGCATTAAACATGAAGTAATTCTCCTTTAATGTTATGTAGTTAATACCTTATTTTAACTGGCGAGACTCGGGTACGCTCTTCCGTATGACCACGCAAATTACACTACATTCGTTTTACCATGAAGCGGCGAAATGAGGATTACTTGAATATAGTACGACGAAACAGGCGATGCTGAATTTAACACAGAGGCTTCTTTTAGGCTTGAGGATCATTTACATGCAGTTAATCTACATTATGGGACAGCTGGCTTTTCTTTCCCTCCGAAGGACGGCGTATGAAGGATATTTTCGCCTTTAAAAATCCACAACTTCGATCTGGTTTGTACCCAACTGCGTGTAATGTAATGTAATCAGTCGTAAGCCACATGAAGTGTTCTCCTTGAACATCGTCGTTTTCTGTCACGTTATTGCCTTTCATCCCAACCGGCCAGGGCTCGGCGTGGTTGGTATCCGGGGTTTCCAGAAGGTTCATCAAGGGACACTCGATGTAACGAGCTACTTCACAAAGTGTGGTTAAACAATGCGTCTACCGAGGCCACCATTTACATTACTTCCATGTTGAAAGTTGCATAAGATGTGCTTTTTGTTAATCTATACTTTTGTATTTGGTTCAGATTTTACTTAAAAAAAGTTTGAAGAAAATATGGTTAATGTCATATTATGATTTAGTTATCTAGCTTCAATATTAAATTTCACGATTTCTCCGTAATCTAAACGAATAGAAAACATTTTCACAAGTTGAAACTGGTGTGTAACCAATTCTGCTTTGCACCACAATGTCAATAGCGAATGGAAGAGAATAATCTACGACGTATCTTCTCAGCTTTCCCTTCTCGCTCCTCTTGAATACATTATTATTCATAATTAACACATTTTTGCTCATATATTTTTTTCCTTTGGCACTATTTTATAATTTTTTCATGGGAATGAAGTTCTTTTGAAATTGAAGGTGCCGCTTTAGCTTCGGATTCGACAGACAAGGCCGCTAATCGATAAGTTAAACTTTAGTTCTGTTCGAGGTAGAAGGTGCCGGCTGGCTGACCTTTGGAATGCTGGTGTGCATGTAGTGTCAAGGTGGATTTGATTGATTTCATGGAAAAACATTATCTACATTTGTGAGCACGTTTAAGACAGTGAGACAAAGTAAGAATTAAGTTATATATATTGTCAATTTCATAATGAAGTTCACCATAACCTTACTCTATAATTTACAATTTTTCTTACTGATGAAAAATATTTGTAACAGGTATCTAGAATGTTTAGCGGAAATATAATTCGGTTTATTCATGTGGGATATACTGCCTTTAATGCTTCCAATAAGACACTGTTATCCAAACTAAGGAAACAAACTGGATACACTTTTGCAAATTGTAAAAAGGCTTTGGAACTGAATGACTACAATTACTCTCTGGTATGTTAATAATTTCTGTTCTTAGAATCTGGTCCTTAGGTATTGAATGAGCACAAAATGTTGGAGAATGCAAATTACTTGTCATTGAGGTGTGTAATTGATGGTAGAGACAACAAGTTTTGTAGTCTCAAATATATCATAAAAAAATATCTGTAAATGAAACTTATCACAAACATTGTTTTAGGCTGAAAAATGGTTGCAAGATCAAGCTCAGCAGCTAGGGTGGTCCAAAGCTACAAAATTAGAAGGAAGAATTACTGCCCAAGGTTTAGTTGCTGTGGGAATGGAAAAAAATAATGCAGTTATTGTTGAAGTAAATTGTGAGACTGACTTTGTTGCTCGCAACAAAAATTTTAGTTCTCTAGTTGAACTAGCTGCTACAACATGTCTCAACCATACAGCCTCTGTTCCTGTTGGTTCTCATCTCTCCAGAGTATGTACACATAAATATCTTCCATGTCCATTTAAATATATAAAATAATGAAGTGGAATTTGACATATTCGGCTTTTAGTTTCAGTTAGATGCTGAAATATTAAAATCTTTAAAAGTGCACGATGGAAAAACTCTCTCAGATCATTTAGCACTTGTAATTGGAAAAGTGGGAGAGAATCTCTCTCTACGTCGAGCAACATGCTTTCATGCTGCTGATGGCATTTTATTGGCTGGTTATGCTCATCCAAGCCCAAATTTTCAATCATCTGTTCTCTTAGGGAAGTTTGGGGCTGTTGTGGCATATCAAGCTGATTCTCCATCACAAAGTGATACCAAACTACGTGAAAACTTGTCAGTAGATGAAATTGGTCGTCAGTTATGTCAGCATGTTGTAGGTATGTAAAGTTTGTGTAAAAAAAAAATCAGAGAAATGTAACAATGCTTTGCTTTGAAATGAATTAAAGCATCATGACATTATTTCCCTCAATATTTTCATTTACTTTAAGAAATTATTTGAAGATTATGATTTCAGTTACACTTAAAAATATAACAAGCATGGTTTTGAAATTGTAGTGTGAAGAATATTATAAATCATGTCAGTCACACTGTACTTGTAATTGCAAACAGATGTGCCACTATATATTAATTCTAAATTACAGCTTTCTAAATTATTTATATTATATTGATCTGCCTAACTCTTCACCTCTTTAGGAATCCTTGCAACTTTTACAGAATTTGCCTATATAATGTATAATGTACTACCCTTGTGTTTCTAACTAATTAATCATGAAAAGTATCACATAATCAATAAATTAAGTGTACTAGTACTGGTTTGTATAGTGTTTGTAGAATTACATTCTGAGTATGTCAAGAAATTTTATAATGAAAGCAATCATAAATTTTAATCATATGTTTGAAAAGCTATGTTGTGTTATAAAAATATCAGTTTAATTACAAAAAGGTTAAATGACAGTGAAGTTTCTTGCTTTAAAAAAATTCAGATTTGAAAACAGTTCAATGTCTTAAGAAAACTAAGGAGCATGTCCAATTAATCCTTGAAAAAACAGTGTTATTGAAATAATTTAAATTACCAATTCATCCACTCAAGATCAGCTCTAAGATACTAAGAAAATATCAAAAGTTCAACTTGTTGAATCATGCACAAAAACTTAGTACATGATAAAATTAACAAATATGTGTATTCTGGTTTGTTCTTCAAACTTTTCCTTCCTTATATGCTTCATAAAGAGTAAATTTTTATAATACTGCTGAAAAAGATGCCAATATTTTGACTGAAAAACACATTTTGTGGACCCTAGAAGTGAAGTGTCGATTTTTTCTTACATGTACAATATTACTGTCTTGCAGCCAATTTTAACGTTTTGAGAGTCATTGATACAAAAAATATTTCTCTCCAAATGTTCTTGTGGTTTGCACTTAAACCATATACAGGGTTTTCATCAAAATTAATATTCGTAGTTGATCTGGGTGATGACCATGTCTTTCGAATTTGAATCTGACCTTTTAAATTTTTAAGGATAATTAACATGAAGCCCCCCAAAGATATTTTTAACAATTCCTCAAAAATTGGCCCTATTTTTTTTGTTTGCTTGAATAGAACAACAAATGTTTATACAAATGAAAGAAGTCCACAATTTTTTGGACCTTCCTCCTACAACTACATTATTAAAGATTAAGAGGTCTGTTCAGTTCTCCATAATTTGATCTTAGAATTATGGCAAGTAGAATTTTTAAAAAATATGAGTAGTTTTTGAGTAATTTTAAGTCAAGTCATGACAACTTAAAAAATAAATAAATATTTTCTCAAATATTGTTCCAATTTTTTCTTTGAATTTTTTTTTTTTTTTTTTTTTTTTTTTTAATAGAGTAAAATTCGCTTAATGTGACATAGGTCTGATTTTTATTAAAATATCTAAGATTTTGCAAATTGCCAAAATTTTTTCATATTTGATTCACAGATTTAATATTGACAGTACAGGTTTCTTTCTTAATGCAAAATATTTGTCAGTATTATATCTTTTAAAAAATTCACATATAATTGTTCATATTTGGCCCTTTAATTTGGAACAGACCTTTTTAATTATTGTAAGTAATCTAAATAAATATACAACTACATGTACATTTTGTATTATGATAAATTTCACAGCAGTTTCAATACAAAATGTACATGTAGTTGTATTATTTATATTCATTACCCAACATAGTTAAAAAGGTTTGTTACAAATTAAAGGGCCAAAGTATGAACAATTATGAATTAATATGTGAATAGTATTATTTAATTTCAATTATACTTTCTTAAAAATTTGTTGTTTTTGTGTAATTCCAAGTAATTTTCGGTCATTCTGTTACAATCACCCTTAACATTTATATTCATTATTTCATTAGAAGAAACACACTGAGTAGTCCGCAAGAATCCATAGGATAGTTGAATTCCTCTTGCCTTATAAACCTAACTCTCCAAATTAAATATATTTACAAAATCCAGCGTTCAGAAATATTGCAAAAAATAGTATTGTATATATTCTACTTTACACATCAAGAATATCAAAAAAGTTGCTTTCCCATAACTCAACATGTGAAGAGTAAATATTTAATTACATATGCAATTACATGCAGCCGTTATAAGAGCAAATAGTTAACTACTTCAGCTTTCTCAAAAGCAGTGATGCTCTGAGTATAGTAAGTCAGTCATTAATATGAGAATAGGCAGAGTAATACAATCAAATATTTGCATTTTTCTGTGGAAATTAAAATTTTTATATTTTCCTAAAGTTTCTGGGTGTCTAGACACCTCTCATATGGTCAAAGGTTGCAGATGGAGGCAGCTTCAATTTCAGTGTGAATTGAATAATAGTATAGATTACATAACATATCAAGGTGTATTGTCAGTAATGAAATGTTTGTGATATATTTTGAAAAAAGATGAAGATTAACCATCTCATAAGGTGATATATTTATGGTTTTGACCTTTTAAAATTTTGGTCTTAAATTAATTCCTTGCTTTTTCAGGAATGAATCCAATGAAGATTGGTGAAGTTGGCCAAGATACTCCTGCTAATAACCCAGATGATGAAAGTTGCATGATATATCAAGAATATTTATTGGATCCCTCCCAAACAGTGGGGGAGATGTTGGCCAGTACATCTATTTCTGTTTTAGATTTTGCAAGATATGAATGTGGAGAAGAACTTCTTGAAAATACTGAAAACAATAGCTCCAAAGTTGCTGTGGAAATAGGAGGTTAAAATTGTCTATAAATTAAACATGTGTAATATTAGTCGAATGTTCTGAAAGAAATTAATGTATATTATTCCTTGTAAAGAATCATACACACTACACAATATTTGTGCTGTTTTAGTTTTTGCCCTGAAAATATATATTCCAAATAACATGTTCTTGTGTTCGTAAATGCACTTAACATAAATATTCATATTATGACTTTAAATTACTTTGCGTAGTCTGTGAATATGGCCTGCGTTTTTTCCTAGAATAATGTGTCCCTTTCCACAACCACATTCGACAATCCTTTTTCCAAACGGGTGCAACATCATCAGAAGAATATTGACTCCCTTGGTGTTGGAGGATCTCTGGTCCAACATTGTAGAGATTTGTAGTATTTTCATCTTGCATTAGGAATTTTCCTCTTGATGCAGTATCTTTTTGATTAGAAACATTGTTTCCAGTAGATACAGTGCAGCTCTCACTTTTAGAACCATACATCTTCCTTTTCTTTGGAGCATCACAATCAATTGTTAGATCTTCAAAGTCCCCAGTAAAAGATAGAGTTGCTTGCTTTGAACATTCTGCTTCAGATTTGTTCTTATCTTTGAATATCGACACATCTCTTCCTGTTTCACATTCATCATCCCCATCATCACATGTCCACTCCATGTGGAGGAGGATAATTATACATCAAATTATATATTTTTACATCTCTTTACTCCATGCCTATTTATAGAGCTGAATTTTTTGAATTGTAATTGAAATTTACTTCTGATTAAACATTGCTTTTTGCTAACATGTGTTGTCAAATGAAATATTGCTGAACATGCTGTATTTTATTTTTCAAAACCATAGCAATCATCATTTTCAAACAATTTCATCAAGAATATGCACATTGTTATCATTCGTTCACTTATTTCAGCACACATTGTTTTAAGTGTGCTTAACAATGTGTTATATTTAGCAATACAGAAAATTGCTTAGTAAGCATTAATGTAAAACTTCTGAGATCGAATGTAGTGAAAATTTATTGGTTTTGATATTTGCTTCATAGAAAGTAGTATTTAGTGGTTGTTTATCTACATCCCAAGTAAAATTGTTTTTTCCCCATGATCATAAACACGTTGAAATTAGTGGTGCTACAACGGCACATGTTTTCTCGATTATTTCTAGCTTTTGCAGTTCAAAAATTTGGAAGTTCAATAAAAGCAAGACCTGTACCATTTTTGTAAGTGTCCATTACTCTACCGTAGTAAAAATTTGGAGCCGTTTTTAAGTTGTTTTTTTACAAAATTCCTGTCACAAGTAGAAATTATGCAAACACAATAATTTTTTTCAAAAAAATTGTACTTGTCCTTATTTGAAGATCTGATATTTTAGAACAGACATTCATTAAGAAAAGAATTTCAATTATCAATACTTTGCAAACATATATTATCAATACTTTGCAAATACATTGCATGTACTTTTGCAATGTTGATTTTATGCCATTTTCGAAACTACTGAGTTTGCTGGCAATAGGACCACCACTTTTTTCTTTTTACCATTATTTGCTACATACGAGAAAAAGGTAAAGAAATTTGAAAAAATAAGCAGCTTTTGAAAAAATATTTGTTTAAAAAATATCTATATTACACGCAAAAGTATGTGAAAACTAACATTTTCGAAAAATTGTACATGACCTTATTTCAAAATCTGTCTTTGAATAACAGATTTGTTCAGGAAAAAAATGTTCATCTTCAATGTTGTAGGAGGATTTTGAACAAATTTTGAACTTTTGCAATTCTCAAAAATTTGGATATTTCAAGAAAAATAAGACTGGTTCATTTTTCTAAGCGTCCTGTACACCAGAACTGGTGGGCAGCTTGCGACCCGTGTCCTTGTTTCATGCAGCCCACAACAACAGAATATTTTATTCTGGCAAAAAATATGCAAATTTTTTCGTAAATATGTTTAGGATATCAAGCAATGTATAAAGCTTCATATGACGCAATGTATACTCAGTGATGTGTCTGCACAGCTTACTTTGCTCAAGTCCCTCCAGTTAGATTACACATCATGTCAAACTGTCAGTACTTTATTGTTGTTTTGTTTGGGATTGAGACTGAGTTATTAGTGGTTCTACAAGCACATTTTTCTTGCATTTTTTCGAAAGTTCAGGGAGTACATCGCAAATTAGCACCATTTTTTAAGCGTCTTTCTTCACTCCATGGATAAACATTAAAGAAAAAAAATTCTAGCAGTTTTTGAGAAAATGTTTTTTATAAATCACATTAATTTCAAACCAAATTACATGAAAACTAATTGCTTTTGCAAGAAATTGTACATGAACTTTTGGAAAAGGCAAGGCAAAAATCTCTATCTTCAATTTTTGTATTTTACAATTGTTAACATTTTTTGCAATTTTCCAAAATAAGGAGAGTTTGCAGAAAATAAGGCTAACATATTTTTCCGTCCATTGATACATACAAGGAGAATTTGGTGCAGTTTTAGAGAACAAAAAAAGTTTTAAAATTGCCTATATTTCAGCCAAAACTATGAAAATTACACATATTTTCGAAAATTGTTCATGACCTTGTTTCAAGATTGTCCAGAAGAAAGAGATTTGATTAAGGGAAAAATTATATTTTCCAATCCCCATTGTAGTTGTAGCAAGACGCCTCCCAAAAAATTTCACTTTTGCAATTAGCGAAAAATCTGGGTTTTTAATGAACATGAGACCTGCACCATTCTCTTAAGAGTCCTTTCAGCTATCGGAGAACAAAGTTTAATCAAAAAATAGTGTAATTTTTGAGAAAATTTTGAAAATGGATTTGAGACTTCATGTAAAGTAAACTAAAAATGAAAATATTCATTTTAAAGTCTCAAAGTCTTGAGTTTGTTCAGATCATTTGAGGTATATCATGCAATTTTGGAAAAAATACACTGCGCTCGCATAGACCAAGGAGGGGCAGAGAGACGTTTTTTCCTCAATTGATTTTCCAGTATCAAGTACCTACAAATGATGGAAGATGGCTTCACCATATATTAGAGGAAGTAATTTACTATATATAGCTACAGCATATATCCTATTTCATTTCCAGGGCTCGGCAATTAAAGTTTTTGTGCTGAAAATTCACGGTTTTCCGGCGCACGATTACATAACTTTATCTTCTAACGAAGTGCGAGAAAGTGAAAATGGAAAATGTCTTAAGAAAACAGAATTTTATTTCATTTCTTTGCAAATAAAAAAAAAATCTTGATTCCCTTTTTTTCTGTAACTTTGCTTTTATAACCGAAGTAACTCAGCACGTGAATGAGCTGAATTTGTAGTAATAGTCCAAATCAAACCATACCTGAGTTAGTTGGCCATCTAGACATATTTAAGTCCACTGAAAACTTTTAAATTCACTCTTGAAAAACTCAATCTAATTCATTTTCTCTCAGTCAAAGAAACCATGGAAAAAAATCATCCTATAATTTCAGCTTACGCATTCCAGCATTAAATATGCTTTTGGAGTCATTCAATGAACAAGTTTTGGATTTCAATGAAATGCAGCCAAATCTCTTTTTGAACAATCCAAATCTTTTTCTAATTTAACAAATTGATTTCTTTGAGTGAGCAAAGCAGATATTATTAATCTGCAAAGCAATGCCATTAGCAGAGTAGACCAGAGCCTATTGTTCTGCAAAGCAGTACATAATTTCAATATACTATGAATAATATCATGGGGGGAGGGACGTAATGTTGATAGATCTGAAATGTCTTCTGCCTGTTTCCCGTGCGATCCGTGTCAATGAAACACGATAAGCATCACGCCCCTCATCAGTAATACGTGGAGTGGCAGGTGATAGGGCAGAGGAGGAGATAATAGTGGGACGGGTGTGGGCGGCGGGGCACGGTGCTCGGTCTCGTTTTATCGGGGGTCTGCCGCACAATCGGTCAGTGCGCTAGCGTCCACCCCTCCCTGCACATCGGCAGGTTCCTGCTGCAGCTCTTCGCGCAGGTGAGTGGACCTTTCCAAATCACTCGTCTGCGTTCCATCTAATTACGCGTAGTTACCTTGAAGTCACTCTTTTGGGGGAAGCAAGTTTCTTTCGAAGTGAATACGTGTGATAGGGTGAAAATAGATTGCCTCGATAAGAGATATATTTGAAGTTAGCCACTCTAAAAATGAATATAGCCAATCGATAATTTATTCCGAGATCTGCGAAGTTTTACATACTTTCTGTCAGAAGAAAGTTAATACACCAGAGCTGACAATAGTAATTAATCATTAAAAGAAACGTGTTACAACCGAACATATTTTCTCGTATTATATTCCAAGGTTACGTTATGTATTCCCACTTGCATCCCAAAAATACTTCACTTATTTATTGAAAAACTTTTTGCTAAAAGATGCACAGTAATTTCGAAGAGGAAACAACTAAATTTTGGCAATTCTAAAGATTTGAATGAAAATGGATCTTATCCCATAATAAAATTGAGAGTGTCTTCTATTTTAAAAACGTTCGACAGCTTCAAGAACAAATTAAAGACTTGTTTCAAATTCGCAGGCTGTCATGTTCGACCAGATCGATCTAGGATAATCCATTTTGGGGAAAATCTTGAGTACGGCTTAGACACTACTGTTTTCACGAGCAGACAGACAGGCAGGCATTTGTTTAAAAACTCCAAAAAGCGTATTTCTGTAAAAATCTCGACATAGATTTTGTGCACAACTTTCGTTCTGGATTTTCTATTATCCCACAGGGAGAGTGTAGGTGGACGATGTTTTTGTAATATCCATAAACTCAATTCATCCAAAATATTTTTAAAAAAAAACAGGTTCTCTGATCTATTCTTTCCAAAATACCTTGGAAATGCATCTGTATTTAAACGTTACAAAAATAAAATGCGATATTATTGCATTAATACTTATTTGTCCTGTGCATATTTCATTGCATGCAAAAGTTAGAAATTGATGTAGATTTAAATAAAAATTAAGATAACTCCATTTGTTTCTATTTCCTTTTCACGCCCAGGAGGATTTAAAGCCAAGTTTTTGGAATTATCAAAGAACACTCGAGATAGTATAAGCTCACATTCTTAAGATCGACGCTACACAATGAGTTAACAACAGGCGATGATAAAAAAATTATGAAATTAGATATAATATCTTAATGAATCACTAATTTTTACTGTTTCGCCTTACTACGCACTTACGTAGTAAAGATAAATTATTGTAATGCTGCAGCAGAAAGTGGCGATTTTTCGTTCGAAATTCTTGTAATGTAGGTCCTTGATATCGAAGTAGTGGTTAAATCTTGTTTCTAAATGTATTAAATTACTTCCTTGAACTCGTTGAATAGTCCGAATACACGTTTTGTGGGTTTTTGATGCCGAATAATTGAAAGTATGTACTCTTGTAGCATAGCTAGTTGCCCATGTCTTCCAATAATGTGCTCGTCTGAAAGAGCGAAAACGCTCAATGAGAAAAATCAAGATCCGCCGAACTGATTTTGAGCGCACTTACTGGTGAATTGCGACATAAGCAAACTTAAGTCCCTGCTTACGGATCCCCAATATTATTTTCAATAAACATGTCAGATATACAAAAATAACTGTTAACTGTGTAATTAACGGTACACAAAAATAATGAATTTAATTCATTTTAGTCACGTTTCGGGCATCTGAAGATATTAATCCGACCTTGATTACACTGCTTCATGCAATAAGATATTTCGGTAATTGAGATCAACATCATAAAGAGCACTTACACATTTCAAATGCGCGCAGAAATTGAAAGAAAACTACACAGTCTCCGGTCATGTGAGATATGTCTGTGATTTATTAGATAGGTTTTCCTCGAACAGGGGAAACATTAAAAAATGGAACTGTTTGGATTTCGACCAAATATTCTTCAGAGACTCACTGCTTACGACACAGCTCACGTCGTGCGACAGCAAGGCTCCTTGGAAAAGGCCAGCAGTCATCAAATATTTGCTATTCAAGTGTGGCTTTATGAAACATTATTTTTGGTAAATGAGGAACCATTGTCCACTCTGTAAACGCTGTACTATATTATTGGAGTATTCTTGAAAACTTGTTTTTATTAAAATTATTTTATTGCAATGTTATGTGAGAGTATTATACAATAGAGTACAATTTTGAGTACATAACTATTTCCAACCATGCGAGGAAGTATATGCTGGTGTTGCACCTCTAGTTTTCATCACAAAACAGTAAAATCTGTATGTGATGTAACCGGGAGAAGTTTAATAGGCGCAAGTTTCTTTTTGAACTCCAAAATCTCTTCTTCACCCTCTTATCGATCAATGATG